TGAACTCAGGTCCTCTGCAAGAGCATCCAGTGCTTTTAACCATGGAGCCATCTCTGCAGCACCCCGCTTTTGCCTTGATTTCTTTTTTAACAGTATTTTAAATATACTTTATTATTTTGTGTGGAGGGGTGTTTTACCTAAACATATGCTGTGCACCGTGTGTTTGTGGTGCCCTTGGTGGCAAAGAGGGCGTAGAATCCCTGGAACTGGGGTCATGAACCACAGTGGGGGTGCTGGCAACTGAATGTGGGTGTTTTAAACTGCTGAGCCATCTCTCTAGCCCCTCAATAAAGTCTTTTTGTGTGTGTATGTCTATGTCTGTGTATGTGCGTGGTGTATGAGACTGTGTGTACACATGTGGGCACCACAGAGGCCAGAGGAGTGTGTCTGGCCTCCTCTATCACCCTCCACTTATTCCTTTTGAGGTGTGGTCTCCCTGGAGATTACATTTTGGGGGCTCAGCTGGATGCCAGCAGGCCCCAGCAATCCTCCCCCACAGGCCTGCATGGCTCCACCAGTGCTGGGACCCAAGCTCTGGTCCTCATACTGCACAGCAAGCCCTCCACCTCTGGGCCGTCGCTCCAGTCCCTCATCTCTTCCCTTCTCCCTAACTGCCCGCCCTTCAGTCTGGCATCCTGCGTTTCAGCAACCTTTCCTGTTTCTGCGGTAGATTCCAGTCTGTGAGAGTCCATCGGTTTATTGTTTATGGACTTTATTAATAAGCCTTAACATTTTAGATTCTTCCTTCCTTCCTTTCTTCCTTCCCTCCTTTCTTATTTCATACTGGGGCCTAAACTTAGTGCTCTCCACATGCTAGATAAATGTTCTATATAGTACCAGTTATTCTCTGTTGCTGTGATGAACACCATGAACAAAAGCAACTTATAAAAGAAGGAGATTGTTTTGGTTTGAGGTTCCAAAAGGTTAGAGGCCATTGATAGGGAAGGTGCAGTGCTGTGGGATGTTCTGTATGTTAAATGTGTTGCTCTGATTGTTTAATAAATAAAACACTGATTGGCCTGTAGCCAGGCAGGAAGTATAGGCGGGACAAGGAGAGAGGAGAATTTTGGGAAGTGGAAGGCTGAGTCAGGAGACGCTGCCAGCTGCCATGAAGAGAAGCAGATGTTAAGATACCAGTAAGCCACGAGCCACGTGGCAACTTATAGATTAATAGAAATGGGTTGATTTAAGATATAAGAACAGTTAGCAAGAAGCCTGCCTTGGCCATACAGTTTGTAAGCAATGTAAGTCTCTGTGTTTACTTGGTTGGGTCTGAGCAGCTGCGGGACTGGCGGGTGAGAGAGATTTGTCCTGACCGTGGGCCAGGCAGGACCAGAAAAACTCTAGCTACAGTGCAGCATGCTGGCTGGACCAGGAAGCTGGATGGTTACTTTTCATCCACAAACAGGAAGCAGAAAGTGCAAACAGGAAGGGGGACAGGGCTATAAGACCTCAAAAGCCATTCCAGTGACATGCTTCCTCCAGCAAGGCTCCACCTTCCAAAGGTTCTATAACCTCCTGAAACAGCGCCACCTACTGGAGACCAAGTGTTCAAACACCCGAGCCTGTGGGGGATGTTCTCATTCAGACCACCAAAGACACTGATCCACAACCCAGGGCCTTTTATACTTAATTTTATGTGTTTAAATTTTCTTTAAAGTTTTATTTTATGTGTGTGTGTTTGCCTGCATGTATGTATGTGTGTGCCTGGTTCCCACTGAAGGCCAGAGAAGGCACTGGATCCCCTGGAACTGGAGTTTTAGATGGGTGTGAATTGCCATCTGGGTGCTGGGAATTGAACTTGGGTCCTCTGGAAGAGCAGACAGTGCTCTTAGCCACTGAGCCGTCTCTCCAGCCCCCTTATTTTATTTATTTGAGGCAGGGTCTCATGTAGCCCAAGCTGACCTTGAACTGCTATTGTAGCCAAGGATTACCTAGAATTCCCCATTCTCCTGCCTTTTCACCCCAGTGCCACAATTCCCTGCTTTTTTATTTTGTTTCATTAAGAACCTCACTAGAGAAGTTGGCAGCAGATATGAGTTGGGCCCTGTGCCGTCTCTTCAGGTGGATGTGGTGAATTCCTTCTGGAGCCTGGACCTCCCTTTGCTTTGGTCAATGGTTCATTGGTTTATTCTGAGCTGGATTTCTGGAGGCTCTCTCTTGTTCTCAGAACACCTGTTGGCTAACTGTAGCCCCTTTCTCCTGCCGTCACCAAGCATCTAACTCTGCATGTCCTGCGGCTTCCCTTGTGGGCTGCAGCCATGCTTCCTTTCAGCTTAGGAATTCTCTGAGCACCTCGTCATAGAGACACTAAGGTTCCCTACCGTGTTAGCCCAGCGCTGGGTTAGAAGGCACCTCATTTGACTCAGCTGTGAAGACACACTTGAGGCGTGATAGCCCAGTGTCTTGAGCCCCATCATGTAAATGGATAGAATAAATCTAAGAAACAGTGAGAGGCTGACCTCGGGGTGAGCCCCTGGGGAGCTACTTCCACAGGCAGCACATAGACCCAATGTGAAAACAAATCCTACAGCATAGAGACTGTGGGAACAGAGAGAGTCAAGAATGCTTGGGAAAAATGCTTGGGTGGGGAAACACTGTTTGCTGCTCTGTAGACCAGGCTGGCCTCAAACCCAGAGATCCACCTGCCTCTACCTCCCTAGTGCAGGGATTAAAGGTGTGCACCACCACATCTGGCTCATATCTATCTTAATTTTTTAATGTTAAAAAGCGTTTAAAAAGTAATCATCCCCCGTGGTATATTTTCTTACGTGGTAAGGACGCCGATCTTGAGGCCTGTAGTGTTATGTCCTGCAGCTAACCACAGCTCTGCAGTGATTGTTACTGACCCAAACCTCTTACTTTATTCAAAGCAAGTCTTCATGCTTGAAAATATCCAAATTCTCACTGCCTCCCCAGAGGCCTCTCTTATTGTCTAGAATAATTTGGCTTAAAACGTTTCCTGATTTTAGACAGAGCCCTATTTTAAAGCTACCCAAGGGAATCCCCGGGGAGGGTAACGTGATCTAAACTCCTAGAATCAAAACCAATAATTCCTACTAAGAAAAATTATTAAGTATGTCCAGCCAATTGGATCACTTTGTTCGTATTGATATTAATGACTTTAAGATAATGTACACTCTATCAATGAAGTTAAAAGCTCCGAAACTCTAGGACTCGTCCAGACACCTGTCTTCCTTGGAGCAACTTAAACTCTATTGACTGTCGCCGGTGAAGCCCTAGAGTTCTGGGCCGAGTCTTTTTATCTGAATTTTACAAAACCCCTCTCTAATGACAGAAACCATCCTGGCGGGTTCACCAAAATTGCTATCAGTGGACCCAGAAGGGCTTCCTCAGGTGTATGTACAAGGCCAAAATATATTTTTAAAAACAGTTCATAAGGCCAGAAAGGTGGCAGTGGGCAAAGGCACTTGACCCCAAGCCTGGTGACCCGAGTTCCATCCCCAGGACCCTCAGGGTGAAGAAGAGAAGCGATCCACAAGTTGTCCCCTGGTCTCCACTCACACGCCACAGCATGCATGTGTTAGCACAAATACACTAACAAAATGTTGAAAAGGGGCCATATCAAAAAGTCGAGGTGGCTCTAAAAACCAGAGACTAGAGGTAGCCATGAAAGGCTGTAACCTAAAGCGGGGAGTGGTGATGAATGCTTTCAATCCCAGCACTGCGGAGGCAGAGGCAGGAGGATTGCTGTGAGTTTGTGGTCAGCCTGGTCTACAGAGTGAGTTCCAGGACAGCCTGGGCTACATAAGGAGACCCTTAACCACTCAGTTACCTTGATTCCCACCTCCTGGTCTCATAAAGCCCAGGCTAGCCTTGAAGTCTCTAGGTAGCAAGGATGACCCTGAGCTCCTGACCCCCCACCACATCTGGAGATCAAACCCAGAGCTTCCTGCACGAAAGGAAAGCAGTCTGCTAAGTGAGCCACATCCTCACCCCCCCCCCCCCCCCCGCCAGACTGCTTTTCTGCCTGCTCAGCTCCATCTTTTTCAGACTGTAAAGACGTGCCTTCCTGACACTGTGGCCAGATGCACGTAAGTAGGAATTCTAACTCCCTTCCCTGGCTTGCATTTGTGTGTTCCCCACAGTGAGATCCAAACCCAGACTCCTTGAACTGGTTAGTGATGTGGACAAAATTCATCAAGGAATATCCAGGGTTACATTTGCTTGGAGCTCATGTTAATAGCGAGCGAGCGAGCAAGTGAGAAAGAGAGAGAGAGAGACAGACAGACAGACAGACAGGCAGGCTCACTGAGGGAAAAGAGACACAAGGCAGAACCCTGAAAACCACGTTGCTCCGGCCAGCGGCATTTCCTGGTCAGTCTTTGCTGACACCTGCAGGCCACAATGTGTTAATGACTTTTAAACAACAATTTAAATTCTCCCTTGTGGGATGCTGATGCTGGGCTGTAGATCTGGCACCTCTGAAGCCTAGACTCAGTCGAGACAATGGTTCTTGAATATTCCCAGGAAAAAAAAAGTCACACTGTGTCGAAGATTCTGTAAGGTTGGTTAACGGATTGGAACTTCCTGATTGTGGAGGGCCGTGGAGCTGAAGACCTAGGGTCAGGGGCCATTGTAGTCCATCTCTGTAGCTGATGTGACATCACCCTCTTTTCATTTCTGTTGCTGAGAGAAAACACCCCGACAAAAAAGTAACAGGGGAGGAAGGGTTTGTTGCCATTTACAATCCCAGGTGACACCCATCATTGTGGGGACGTCAAGGCAGCCATTGGAAACAGCTGGTCACTTCCCACCCACAGTCAAGAGCAGAGAGAGATGTATGCTTGCCTGCTTACTCTGTTCATCCTCTCTGCTCTTACACACTTCAGGACGCCTGCCTAGGGAATGAAGCCGCCCACAGTGGGCTGGGTCTCCCCACATCAGTTAACTTAAGACAACCCCCCACAAACATGCTCCCGGGTCAACCCAATGTGGAATTCTTCTTTTTTTTTTTCTCATAAACAATATTTATAAACAAGGAATGTAATAACATATCTTGTTGAAGGGCAGTAGCTTTTAGGTCTTTACAGAAATATACTTAAAATGTTCAAAGCCAGCTTAGTGAGGATGTTGCCCACTGTCTGACATCTGTAGGGCAGTTGGAGTACTTCTGTAGAGCATTCATAATTTGAGTATTATCCAAAAGTAGTTTCACTAGCTGGTATTCTCTCTGTGAATTCACTGAAGTTCTTTCCATGGGTTTTATTAATTCCAACTGTTGTAAATGCTCAAATGCCTTCATGACCACAGGTTTCTCAAAGTTATAAACAGAATGAGCCTTTCTTTGAATAAATTTCTGAAACTCATTATAGACCATTTGAAAATTAAAGGGCTCTTCTTCATAGATGTCATTTAAATGTTTCATTGCTATTATAAGACAGATTTCCAAGACTGATAGACCATGTACAATACTTGCTTTAGAATCCAAGCTACACAAATGCTGTGCCTCCATCAGTCATAAATGGGTGTGATACTGTTACTCGATTTAAAGCAAGCATCAATAGCATATGTAATGACCGTAAGTTTTTGTTGACATTGAAATGTTTCTGTAGAACTTCACACACAGTTGAGTCTTCTGAGAGACACTGAGTATTCTCATTCCACCTCTCAGCAAAAGCTTTATCTGGGAATTCTGCAGGTAGAGATAATTGTTCTTTAAATATTTTTATATATTGTGGAAAACCAAATGAATTCATTAAATGTATCTGCCGGTGAGAAAACCGTGACTTCACTCTTTTTTCTAAGAGTTCCAAAATATCCAATCTACATGTAAGACCAATAACCGCTACTGGCGTCTGTGCAGACTGAGAAATGTCAAACAGATTATAAAGGAGTGTCTGGTTTTTCTGATGAGCAAAAAGATCAAATTCATCCAGTATGAAGATCACTGGGCAACTGCTAGCCCGGTCACCTTTTTTTAAAGCTTCCAGAAGAAATGAAAGGTTTTCAGCAAAGCTTCCAAAAACTTTATCTCCAACTACATTTTCTAGATTTAATTGCCTTGTGATCTCTTTCAAAGCAATTTTGTCATTTATCTGCAGCAGTCCATTTAGGTGAACTTGTAACACATTTTCACTCACTTCTCTTATTTCCATGAGTTCTTTCAAAGCATGATTTATTAACATGGTCTTTCCTGATCCTCGTGGCCCAACAATGAGTACAGAGTTACTTTCTCCATTGATAACAGTTCTTTTGAGGAGGTCAAGTAAATGCTTGTATTGTAGATTCACTCCAAATAGGTTACTATGTGGACTCTGATGACAAAATCTTTCACGAAAAATTCTTTGTACCTCTGATAGACACTCTGCATGTATTGTGCTATTGCTCTTTGTTTTACGATTGCTCATTTCGACCAACTCAAATCCTCTCGCGGGGAAGCCTGCCTGCACCGGGGCTTTTAAGCCGGCTGCCGCCGCCTGCGAGTACCCAGGCTCTTCACCTCCTCCTCGGCCCCGCTTCACCTGCGTCTGTGGAATTCTTTATTGGGAGTCTCTTCCCAGGTTATCATGTGTGTCAAGTTAACAGTTAAAGCCAAACACCACGTGTCCTTTCAACTCGGGGAAATTTTTTTTTAATATATTAACTCTGCAAACTGCTGTTTTCCACCAACCCCAAGTAGGATCGTACCCGAAATCTACAGCAGAGACTTCCCACTTCTGTAAACTGCCTGACCTGCTGCCCCACTAATGTATTTGGTGGAGGCTTGATTTATGACTTCCCTTTGTTCTGTGACTGTAAAATGTTTGTGTAACTGCCTTCCTGTCACAGGGGCAAACTGAGTCAGTGTTCCTGGGCCATGGCCATCTACTTACATTTGGCTCAGAAAAACACAATCTCTTATTCCCTTTGAAGTAAGAGGGATTTTTTGTTGTTGTTGTTGACAAAATATATGCTGAGAAACTCAAGGAATTCTGTGACTGCAATGAACACTTGGTAAATTAGAATTTTGGTGACACAGGGATGTCAACACACAGGCGAAACTATCCTCTAGGTAAATGTGTGTGTGTGTGTGTGTGTGTGTGTGTGTGTGTGTGTGTGTGTGTGTGTTTGGGGGGGGCTGGGGACGCCTGGCTGAGTGGTTTACTGCAGGCTCATATCTGGAAAGCTGTTCACACTCGCGCTCTCTTGGCTCTAGATTGCAGGTGTACCCTGCAATCCCAGCACTTGAGGGGCTGAAGGCAGAGAGCTAGGGGTCCAAGGGGAGCATGAAATCTAGAATTTGAGATAGCAAAAATTTTCTCTCATTTAAAAAAAATCGTTTTATTTTAATTTGATTTTAACTCACAAATCAAAATATAACACAGCTGGGTTTAAGGAAACCACTCAAACGCTTGCCCACTCCCAAGCCATCCATCTCGGTATCTGTATAGTGAGAATGACTGAAGCCACATGAGCATCCACACAGTTAGAACGCTGAAGTCACATGAGCATCCACGTAGTTAGAACGTCTGAAGCCATGTGAGCATCCACACAGTTAGAATGTCTATGCTGATCGTAAACCATAGGGCTTTGCCCAGTGTTTACACTTTCACTGTAAATTGCATTTTATGCAATTATCCATAACAAAAATCTACTAAAGCCAAAGCTAGTTTTTATGTATTTATCCAACACACACACACACACACACACACACACACACACACACACACACACACACACACACACACGACAGTTGAAAGTAGGGGAAAAATCTTTCTATTCTCTCTTGTAACTCCGTTCTGCATTCCATTTTCCCTCCTTACCTGACGTCACCCTTCTTGCTCTACCTTGTTGTATGGTGCCCACACTCACACCTGTTTGCACACATGCATGTACATATGATCGGCTGGAATCTGCATATGATGGAGAACATGAGCTTTTCCCCCTTTGGGTTTGGGTGACATTGCTTCATGTACTTTCCAGAACCAGGTATTTTCCTGAAAATTTGATCATTTCATTGTTTTACAGATAAATAATATTCCATCTTGTGTACATACCACATTTTCATCACCCATCTGATGAAGGGCGTTTAGGGTGGCTCCATCCCCTTGCTATGAGGTGCAAAAGTTCTAACAATGGCTAAGGTTCACATTCTGTACACTTAGAAAAGAGACTAGCTTCCTTTGAAAATTCCTATAGCTGTGGCCATTTTCAACCTCATACCTTGGATTCGGGACAGATAATAAAAGCATCAAGTTATCTCGCCGCACTCTCAAACTTGTAAATTTTCTCATCAGGTAGTCAATACCCATTTGTCCACTAGGTGGCGCCAGAGGCTTACTCTTTCACGGCTCAGACTGAGCAAATTAGGTACTTAACATTCTTGGTGCTCATTAAAAAAGCAATCCTGGGCTACCAAGAGAGTTCCAGGAAAGGCGCAAAGCTACACAGAGAAACCCTGTCTCGAAAAAAACAAGAACAAAACAAACAAACAAGCAAATCAATCCTGTTATCAAAATTACGGCGTGGGAAAACTGAAAAACAAAAGTAAGAACAGGAGTCCAGTCTTGCTTGGTGTGTAGATTAGTATTTTGCTAACTTGCCACAGCTAGGGTCATGTGGGAATAGGACCCTCAACTGAGAAAATGTCTCCATCAGATCGACCTGTGGGGCATTTCCTTGATTGACGATTGATGTGGCAGGGAGCAGCCCACTGTGGGCGGTGCCACCCCGGGCAGGTGCCACCCCGGGCAGGTGGGTCGTATGGAAAGGCAAGCTGAGTGAACCATGGGTAACAACCATGAGTGAACCATGAGTGAACCAGCGCTCCTCCACGGCCTCTGCTTCAGTTCCTGCCCCGCCTTCCCTCAGTGATCAACTGCGAACTATGAACGGGTGTGTAAGCCATATTGACCCTTTTCTCTCCAATTTGCTTTTGATTACAGTGTTTATCACGGCAACAGAACTCAAGCTAGGACACTTGTGTGGGAGCGCAGCTGGGGGACCGGCTTCCACATTCAGGGTACTCTTGAGGAGTGAGAGATAAGAGATTTAGATAGAAGGATAGAGGGGAGAGAAACAGAAATACAGAATAGCTTCGGGAGGGTCTGGCTCCTAATCCACCGGCCCCTTCTGTCGCTTCTAAAGGGCTATTTATAGGACTGCTAAGGGGTGGAGCAAAAGACATCCTCCCTCCCCAGCACAGCCAAGTGCAGACCCTTTCCAATCACCTAGTAACCATGCACATGGTCAAACCTCTAATGCAGCTCTGCTGGGTAAAGCAAGCTCAGCTCTCATTAGGAAACCTTTGTGGGCCTCCATACACTTGATAATGCTTCTCTGGGTGAAATATTACTGATGTTTTAGTGACTGCGTACGTTTTCAGGACAGGTTAGTCTATACTCTTGTTCCTATTTTGTATCTGATTGTCAATAAGCCCATTTCAGGAAGACTTAATTTCTGGATTTAAAAAGCCTTGTTGCTGGGTGGTGGTGGCGCACGCTTTTAGCCCTAGCACTCAGGAGGCAGAGGCAAGCGGATCTCTGTGAGTTCGAGGCCAGCCTGGTATACAGAGTGAGTTCCAGGACAGTTAGGGCTACACAGAGAAACCATGTCTCAAAGGGGGGAAAAAGCCTTATTAATCAGTAGAAATTCAAATGTGTGCTCCGTGAACTGAACAGAAGATGTGGAAGCTGTCCAAAGCCATCACGTCTAAGATCCATTCCTACTTCAGAGTGATGACAGGCAGGTCTTGGGGAAATTGTTGCACGTGGATGGCTTCTCTACTCTGGTCACAGATGGACACTTTCTGCTCTCTTAGCACCCGAAGGCTTCTGCTGTGGGTCACCCAGAAAAAACTGGGGCCCTTGAGAGAAACAACAGAGAAGGACACTCTTCAGACTCCCACGAGGCATTCCTTACCCTCAATATTTGTAGAGAATGGAATTGCTAGAAGAAATTTACCCAACTAAGGGGACATTGCCACCTGTCAGGCTGTAACAGAGGACTTAAAAATTCTCCAGCGGAGCTGGAGAGATGGCTGCCTCTGCAGAGGACCCAGATTCGGTCCCCAGCATCACACAGCCCTCACAATTGTTTGTAGCTCCAGTTCCAGGGATCAAAACCTTCTTCTGGCATCCATGAACACACACACACAGTGCATGTACACACAGGCAAAACACTCATACATGCAAAATTTAAAAGTCCTTTAAAAATCCATCTGAATATTTTCTTTTGTTAGATTTTCATAGCTTAGGCTCCTTTTTTCCTTCCTTCCTTCTTTCTTTCTTTCTTTCTTTCTTTCTTTCTTTCTTTCTTTCTTTCTTTCTTTCTTTCTTTCTTTCTTTCTTTCTTTCTATGAACTCCTGGCTGTTCTGGAACTTGATCTGTAGACCAGGCTGGCCTTGATCTCACAGAGCTCTGCTTGCCTCTGCCTCCCAAGTGCTGGGATTAAAAGTGTACGACACACACACAAAAAAAAAAAAGTGTACGCCACTATGCCTGGCACCCAGGCTGGTCTTGAACTCAAAATCTCCCTGCTTTGCTGTCCCAAATGCTAAGATTACAGGTGTGTGACACTGTGCCTCACTTCGTCTGAATCTTAAAACAAGCCAGATGAAAGAAACGATGAGTGCACGTCTTACTTTTCAATCGCTGCGACAAAGCACCGTGGCCAAGGCAACTTACAGAAGAAAGAGTTTATTGGGAGCTTACAGATTCAGAGGGTGAGGAGTCCTGGCAGGGATCATGGCGGCAGGCAGACTGGCATGGCGCTGAGCAGTAGCTGAGGGCTCACATCAGATCCACAAGCAGGAGGCAGAGGTGGGGCAGGGAGAGCTAACTGGGATGGCCGGGCCTTTTGAAACCTCAAAGCCCACCCCCAGTAACACACCTCCTCCAAGGCCACACCCCCAATCCGTCCCAAACAGTTCCTCTAACTGGAGACAAAGCATTCAAATGTATGAGCTTATGGGGCTGTTCTCACTCAGACCACCACAATGTATGAAGCTGAATTGAAACGCTTTTGAGAAATAGGTTTTTAGAGACTCAATTTTATTTTTATTTGTATGTGTGCTTCTGTGTATGTGCATGTGAATGCAGTGACCATGGAGGCCTGAAGGGGGCATCAGATCCCCCTGGAGCTGGAGTTTCAGGCTACTGTGAGCTTCATAACATGGGTGCTGGGAACTGAACTCTGGTCCTCTATAAGAGCAATGTGCTCTCTTAACTGTTGGGGTGTTCTCCTTAATTCTCCATTCTTCCTTGCTCCCTCCCTCCCTTCCTTCTTTCCTTTTTCTCCTCCTCTCCCACCTCTTTTCCATGCCTCATCTCTGTTTATTTGAGACAGGAAATCTCTATGTAGCCCAGGCTGGCCTCACATGTCTACCCTTCTTGCCTCTGCTTCTGCCTGCTGGATTTGCAGGTGTGCACCCCCAGGCCTGGCTGGATTTGGCTTTTCAACAGGAAATGTGGAGCAATATATGGGAGGCTCCTCTTGTTTAGGTAAAGGGAAATATTCTGGACCACACGGCATCCCCGCCC